AGGAGCAGGGGGGAGGAGCAGGGGAGGAGGAGGAGCAGGGGAGGAGAAGGAGCAGGGGAGGAGCAAGGGAGGGAGAGTCAGGAAAGGAGCAGGGGAGGAGGAGCAGGGGAGGAGAAGGAGCAGGGGAGGGGCAGGGGAGGAGGAGCAGGGGAGGGGCAGAGGAGGAGGAGGAGCAGGGGAGGAGGAGGAGCAGGGGAGGAGCAAGGGAGGGAGAGTCAGGAAAGGAGCAGGGGAGGAGAAGGAGCAGGGGAAGGAGCAGGGGAGGAGGAGCAGGGGAGGGGCAGAGGAGGAGGAGGAGCAGGGGAGGAGAAGGAGCAGGAGAGGAGGAGCAGGGGAGGAAGAGGAGCAGGGGAGGAGGAGCAGGGGAGGAGAAGGAGCAGGGGAGGAGCAAGGGAGGGAGAGTCAGGAAAGGAGCAGGGGAGGAGGAGGAGCAGGGGAGGAGGAGGAGAAGGGGAGGAGGAGGAAAGGAGCAGGGAGGAATAAGAGGAGCACGGGAGGAGCACAGGAGCAGGGGAGGGTCAGGGAAGGAGCAAGGGAGGAGCAGGGAGGAGTAGGAGAAGCAGGAGAGGAGCAGGGGAGGAGTAGGAGTAGCAAGGGAGGGTCAGGGGAGGAGGAGGAGGAGCACGGGAGGAGCAGGGGAGGAGCAGGGGTGGAAGATGAAGAGTGGGGGAGGAGCCTTTGGCCAGGGGCTGGAAAGGTGAACTGTGGGAAGGGGGCGTGACTCACCGCAGCACTGTGTCAACATACCCCCCTGCCAAGGTGCCATGCTGGCCCGGCCCCTCTGTGGTGTCTCGGGCCCCTGGGTGCCCCTCTGTGGGAGGATGCCCCCCGCACCGCTGAGCTGAGCCGGACAGGCTGCTGCACAGAACCTGGCTCCACCCCTCAGCCTCCACACGCCCTGAGTGCCACGCCATCCTGAAGCCAGGGGCCAGCATGCCCTCACCCAGCAGCGTCCGGCTGCCTCCTGCCCACCACGGCCTGGAAGCAGGACCACGGTCTCCTCCATTCATGCGTGGGACACTCACAGATGCACGTGCAGGAAGGGAAGAAAGGATGGGTAGGTGGGTGGATGGATGGATGGTTGGGAGGATGGATGGGTGGATGGGTGGGTGGGTGGGTGGGTGGATGGATGGATGGGTGGATGGGTGGGTGGATGGATGGATGGGTGGATGGGTGGGTGGATGGATGGATGGGTGGATGGTAGATGAGTAGGTGGATGGATGGATGGATGCATAATGGGTAGATGGATGGATAAGTAAGAGTATGGATGGATGATGGGTGAGTGAATGGATAAATGGATAAGGAGATGGGTAGTTGGATGATGGATGGGTGGATGGATGGGTGGATGGATGGGTGGGTGGATGGGTGGATGAATGGATGGATGGATAGATGGATAGGAGGATGGACAGATGGATGGATGGACAGATGGATGGGTGAACAGATGGATGGGTAGGTAAATGGATGGATGGGTGGGTGAATGGATGGATGGATGGATGGATGGATGGATGGATGAACAGATGGATGGGTAGGTAAATGGATGGATGGGTGGGTGAATGGATGGATGGATAGTTGGACAGACGGAGTTAGGTGCAGTGTCATCTGACCACAGATCAGGAGCAATGGTACCCAGGAGTCCTTCAGTCCCAGCCTTTTGCTGGCACTGAACCAAACTAGGAGAGCAGAGCCACCTGCCCTGGCAGTCAGTGAGGGACAGGATGGGGATGGGCGGCAGCCCCTTCCTTGTCTGCAAGCAGGCCAGCAGGACAGCTGGTGACACTGAGGACAGTGCCTGGGTCTGAAAGGGAGGAATGTGGGGTGAAGACACCGCTCTGGTAGAAGACCAGGTAACCAGCACGGAGGTCTTGTTCTCTAATCACAACACCAGAGCTGTGCAGAACCCGGGGCCGGGCTTTGAGAGTGTCCCAGAGAACAGACACACCAACAAAATGTCTTCTGCACGGCATACAAATGACATAAAGCTTTACATTGTTTTCTTGATCCGGGTAGTGGCAGCTCACGCCCATCGTCTACTCAGGAGGCTGAGATCTGAGGATCATGGTTTGAAGTCAGCCTGGGCAGGAAAACCATGGGACTGTAGATGCAGACTTAAGCAAGAGCTACGAGGAGAGACACGTAGAATTACAGGCCGATCCCTGCAGTCCAAGAAATCAATGGACCCTAAGCTAGACAGCCACGGGGCATCTGGCTTAATTCAGCGTGATACTGCTGTCTTCCCACGCTCCACAGCTCCCTCTCAGACAGCTCAGCTTCGCCTCCAGGCCCAGCACTGGTCATAGGCCAGAGGCACCTGTGATCTTCCCGCCCTGGGCCTCCCCGCCCTGGGCCTCCCCGCCCTGGGCCTCCCCACCCTGGGCCGGGTCTCCCTGCCCTGGGCAGGCTCACCTCCCACATCATAGCTATGGCATTAGGAACAACAAAAAGAGTAAAGTCTGTGTGGCTCCACCTGTCCCCAGCTCAGGCTGCGACACCCAACAACTCCCTCAGAGCGTACCCTGAGACATGTATATGAAGAACAGGGAAAGAGGAACGCTATCTACTGAGGCTCAGAGCCACAGGTGCCACCCCCAAAGACAACCTTCCTGGACCTGCGCAGGAGCTCAGAGACAGGGTAGAATGAGCAGGTGCTGGTGGCATTGCTAGGCTCCTGGATGCAGCCTTACCTGAAGCCTCCAGACTCTTCACGCATGAGAGCCAAAGGATTTTGTTTCCATTCAAACAGACTACAGGTGAACACAGCACCCTGCTAAGCCCCACAGGTGAACACAGCACCGTGCTAAGCCCCAATGCCCGGGGGCCTCCGCTACACGTTCTCTTCCTTTCTCCCAGGTCCTATCACGGCCTGTTGCCTCCCCAACCTGAAGGCTGCCCAGACCCAGGCCTCAGCACCGCACGTCCAGACAGCCTTCAACTCCCCTCAGTCCCTGGCCTCTGGCTCTGCTTCCCTGGCCATCCTTCAGGCCGGATCCTGAACCTCCCAGAAAGGCCAGGCTGGGCTGACCAGCAGGGCACCAGGGGCCTGGGCTGTGGGGTTGTGGCTTCAGCCCCCAGTGGGATTCCTTCTCTTTGGAAACGCTGAGCTCCCTGCCCCAGAAGGACCACAGTCTCGTTCAAGTGAGGCTGGAGCCCTAATGGAAGTGGGCTGGGTAATGGTCCCCAGCAGGGAGTGAGCTACAAGGGTAGCAGGGGTGCTGTGGGAGGGGGTGGCCCTTTTCTTCCTCAAGAAGGATTTAATCGACGCTGTAGGTGTGGAGGGCTGATGGCGTGGAGCCAGAAAGAGCTTTTAGCTGTAATGAACGGAGCACAATGGATGTGTAAAAAGACAAGCACCAGGTCTCAAGCCGCCTCCGACGCCATCACTCACGCAGGCGGCCAATTGTACCTCCAGGTCAGCCATCACCCCGGCCTTCACGCAGGCCTCCGCCGGCACAGGAGCAAGCCGTCAGCACAGGGGGTGGCCTGGGCAGCCCTCTGGTTAAAGAAATCAGCAAATAAGAAAGAAAACTGTTTAAGCTTGCAAACTACAGAAGAAGTAGGTGGCTCCGCTAGTTGGCTGCTATATAGAGCAACAGCAAAATGGAAACAAAGGATTAAAAAGAAACTATCCCCATGAACTGGGAGTGGGCACAACTCCAAATGCCCAGTGCCACGCAGGCCTCCGCGGGCTGCTCCTCACAGGGCGTGGGCTCCATTGTCTCTCCTCAATTACCTTGTTTGAAATCCAGGCTGAAGAACAATTTTGCCCAGAAGGGAAAAGAAAAATGTAGCCAAGTGCCAGTGGCTCACACCTGTCATCCTAGCTAGTTAGGAGATCTGCAGGACTGTGGTTCAAAGCCAGCCCGGGCAGACAAGTCTTCAGCACTCTTATCTCCACCAAGCCACCAACAAGCTGGAAATGGAGCTGTGGCTCAAGAGATGAGTGCCAGCCTTGAGAGAAAAAGCCAAGCAAGAGCTCAGGGCCTTGAGTTCCAACCCCAGTGCCAACACATCCCCAAGACTGCATTAACTAAAGAGGCTGGGTACCAGGGGTGGCTGGTGGCGGGCAAGGCCCTGCTCCAAGCCTTAGGTGGTGGTTACTCAGCATCCCAGTCCACCAAACTTCTTGCACACGAGGAGGCGTGCACACTTCCTTTACAGGTTTATGTTTACTTATGTATTTTCTTGTCGGTCGTGGGTCTTGAACTCGGGGCCTGGGCGCTGTCCTTGCACTCTTCAGCTCAAGGCGGGCGCTCTACCATGTGAGCCACAGCGCCACTTCCGGTTTCCTGGTGGTTCATTGGAGATAGGAGTCTCACCGTCTTTCCTGCCGGGGCTGGCTTTGAACCGCGATCCTCAGATCTCAGCCTCCTGAGCAGCTAGGCTGACCGCGTGAGGCCGGTGCCCCGCCTTACCAGTTAAGCGGCCTGGGGCGGCGGTGCAGGGCCGCGGCCGGCCTTGGGCGTGGGGC